CCGGCCTTGAGACCTTGAGACTTGCAACCGAGAGCTCTTTAATAAATATTTTTTAAACTCCCTTTAGCAGGGGTTACTGGTTTGTATGAATTTTTTATAATTTATACTGTTGGCTAATTGTAGCCTTTTTTAAATTGACTTTGATTTAATAGTTTTTTAAGGGGGGAGGGGGGAATTGTGTTGTTTTAGATTGTATCTATTGTATTTTATTATGTTCACCGCTCGGATTGGTTTGCCATAGGGCGGTATACAAATTATTATTATTATTATTATTATTATTATTATTATTCTACTTTAACTGCCTATGGTTCTGTCCTATGGAATCCTGGGCTTTGTAGTCTGGGCAGGCACTAGAATCCCCTGGCTGAGAATTCTAAATGCCCATCCCTAGACTGCAGGATTCCATAACAGTGGTGATATTCTGTAGTGTGAATGGGTCCCACAACTACTGAGAAGAGACAAGTCTAGGTTTACAGATTTGTGGGAGACTTGTTGATCGCATTTGTGTTTTTCTACCCATATTCATTTGTAGCCTTAAAGATCACTACTAGATGAATCCCAAAGGCCATGATGACAGCTGCTAGAAAAGTTGAATTCCATCCTTACTTTGTTTTATTCCACTCTAATGTGACAGTATTACCAGCTGCCACTGTGTTTGGAAAATGATCCACAATTACCTGCACTTGCACACAATAAGAGGAAATTGTATGGATCTATCTGAGGGGTGATCTACACTGGCCAGAATATTCCAGGCTACCCCCAGAGTCTATATTGTGGGCAAACCAAGGAAGGATTGCTCATTATCTCCACACTCCATAACAATGGTCGGTGGCTGTCTCCACATGCATAGTGATCAGGTTTTCCTGAAAAAACCAGAGCAAAAGGTGAGTTATTTTAAACTGGCTTAATGGAGAGATAGGGCAGACAGTCTGCACTCAAATTGGGGATTTGGCCCTGATTGTGAAGATTGGGAGGGGCTCCATGTCATTTTGCCCATGTAGACATGCCCTGAGTGATGTTCATGTTATCAACAAGGCAACATTTCAGTTCAAAAATGAACAAATCTTACTACTACAGAAAGACTCATTCTCAAAGATACAAGCAGGAGCAGATCATCATTAATATGTGGATGATTTCTTCATTCTTTGGGGTTTCCCACCCCCTTTCTTTAAAAATACATTAAATATTTTAATAGTTCACCAAAAAAAAGTGAGCATGAGAAAGACAAATGGTTTACTCTATTTCACACTAAGCTTCATGGTAACTTATTACATTAATGGCATGGTTTTCAAATGACCATCCTGGCCTATGAAACAGTGTAAGTTACAGGAAAAAGAGCATCTACATTCCTCATTTTTAATATCACTTTCCTACCAAGAGGCAGCAAAGTCTGAGAACTCTACTCTTAGCAACAGCTAGGCAGGTGTTAGTTACTGACTGTAAATATCAGTAACACATAATAACCTAGAAGCACTCAATAAAATCACAATACATAGTTATTTCTATGAATAGGGACATAAACAGTTATACAGAATTATAATGTGTATGAGAGAGGCTACACACTGATTTCCAGATCTATTTTTCTAAAGGTAATTCTAAAGTGTGGAATTAGTGTTCCACACTAACCTGCAGGCCTTAGTTTCAGTTTATACTAAGTATGGCTTTACCCTGGAACAGAGTGGAAAATATTTTAAGCACTAACTTACTTTAGAATATGTGACCCAACCAATAAGGCAGTGCTAGTGACAAACATGGATATTCAAGTTATTCTTGTTTACACTGACTAGTAGTGGCTCCCCAAGATCTCAAAAAGAAATCCTGTATATATCCTGTTGCTGTTGTGTGCCTTCAAGTCATTTACAGTTTATGGCAGCCCTAAGATGAACGTATTGCAGACAAAATTTGCTCAGAATGGTTTTGCCCTTGCCTTCCTCTGAAACTAAGAGAATATGCCTTGCTCAAGGCCATCCAGTAGATTTCCATGGCTGAGCAGTGATTCAAACCCTGATCTCCAGAGTCATAGTCCAATGTTCAAACCACTATACTATGCTGACTCTCACATGTCTTGTTATCTTGTAATCCCACTTGCTTAGTGTATTTTAGTGGGAGAACAGACTCATGTGATAAAGTCATGAGCTAAAACTCCATGTCTTATTCAGCTCCATACAGTTATAGAAAGCAAAAACTTTAGTTTTGGCCATGGTGCTAAGATTGTATTAATAGTCAATGATCTACCTTTAGAGGTCAATCGGGATGGGGGAGAGATAATTTTTTTGATCTTACTGGACATCACAGCATGTCCCAGATCCTTATATTTTCCTGGAATGCCCAAAGGACTTTTGAAGGCAAGTGCTATGGCTTTAATCGAGTTTTTATTTATTTATTTATTTTTAGGGTAGTGTCTTCATTCTTTAATTAAGTTGATTTGTGGAACCAGGTCCTGTCCTGGCAACATTATTTTAGCATCTGTTTGGAAGCATAAGAAAGATCATTTGAAGGTTTAGAGTGAATGATCCTAGATCATCAGCTCCAGGAGCAGACATTTTTAAAGTGAAGCAGTGTCTGGCAACTATCTGGATACAGGACTAAATAAAGGCAAGAGTGATTCAGTTCAAGATGATGTCAGGTATCATGCTTCATTGCTGGTGTATCTTCCCTTTCTATATTATTAGCTTCCTTTATTCAAGGCATGGAAAGGGTAAAACGAATTTACCTTGTGTGTATGTGTTTTTAAAAAAGATAATTAACCATATTTTACACTGCTTTTTTATCATTGGATATTGTAAACAGCTTCCAGCAATGAATCTTCCACATCTGAATTACAAACATTCAGATTTCTCTGAATGTGGAATTTGAATTACAAGAGAAAATGGAATCCCCAAGCCTGTAATTCATTTGTCAAACAAATGCTGGGCAAGGATGTTAGTGGGAGAACTTGGGAGGAGAGAGGTTCCTAACCCTTCCCTTCACCTACTGATTTTCTCCTGCAAATTCCACCCATGAATTCCAGATGGTCTTACTTCTCGTTTCACATCTAGCTAGGGAATATGGTTTGAGTAGCACCTCACCCATCTGGCAAACCATTCCCTCATTCACATTACTTTCAGCAGACATGGGTTTGGCAACATATGTTTGCTGTGATAACACATATCTGATCTCAGCATCAATTCATTTTCTATTGTCTGACTGAATTTGAGAATATATTGCTTAGCAGACTTACTTATTGTCACCAAATGGGAATTGGCTAGTCAGGAAAGTTTAGAATTGTATAGGCTTACATTAAATAAAGATAAATTCTAAATTGAGAAGATCATCTCAATCCCAGGTTGAGTTTTTTACTTGCATTGACTGTTCCATTTAAGTGGGATCTCTGTTGTCCTATAGACTAGTTATTATTATTATTCTGTTTATTCTGTTATAAATTGAAGTGAGAGGCATAGCTTTTTCTATTAGAAGTTTATTATTATATAGACTTCCATTCATTGTATTTCAAATATCCCTGATCGTGGGTAAGATGCTACTCTGCATGTATCACTGAATGACATCTGCCCAGATTGTTCAATGTGAAACCCCCCAAATCATACTGACATTTTTAAACAGTAGGAGTTGTGCATAAGGTTTCTATTGTTCATGCAAGAAAAAAGAGGCAGAATCAATTTCCTCTTTAACATATTGATAAACAACTCCAGATATGGGGTCTGGCGTCAAGGGTGGGAGGGAGAGGGACACTAGATTTACCTTTGTGTGACCTGCATAGGAATGTTGGAAAAATTAATTCCAGAATATTATGTCAGCATTCCTTGAAGTTGTGGATATGATTTACATAGTAGGTCTTCTCCATCCAGCCAGTTTCTTTCATCTTGATACTGTAAATTGCTTTCATTTCTCCCCCAACCCAAACCACCCTCAATCTGTATGCTTGAGGTATTGTTGTGATAAATTATAGAGGTACAGAACTGAAAATGGTGTGTAGATTGTCTAAGAAATTGAGTGCAGTCAGCCTTAAAAGTGGTGAATGATGTGCCAAAGCAACTACCTTAACCTAGTCATGTCACATATGTCGACAATGAGCAGCTGCTTTTAACTTTTGCCTTTGCCCAGGGGCACTTGAGAGCAGCTGGATTTATTGAATTAATAAACTGCTCCATTTGGGGTGTTTTGTTTTCCTGTTATTGTGAAATCTGGCTATAATCTTAGCAAAGTTAGTAAAATGGGGGTCCTATACAAAACAAGGTTGTGTCTACTGTTTTGACATCATTTAACTCTTCATCTTCAAACCAAAATGGGGGGAACCCTGACAAGTAATGGAATGAGCTCAACCTTTGGAATTATAGGGGCAAAGGTTCATGGAATATTATTGCAGAGCTGTGTATTAGAAAGGAGAAATGGGGGGGTCGATTACAAAGAATTCAGAGTTCACCAGTCTCTCTTCCTGGTACTGAAAGACTACTGCACTTGTTTCGAAAATTCCAGTTGGTAATTGGATTGTTCATGCTGATTTCTGCAATATTGTCTAAGCTTTTCTGTAGTAAATTACAATCAGTTGTGTCATAATCTAGATATACAGTTTTGGGACATTCTTCAAGGGGAACTGAACTGAGCAGGCTGTCTGGGAAACGGTGGCATTATGTCACACACATGGAGAAGGCTGAATCAAGGACCTTTAATGCCTTTGACCACAGACGTGTTAGGTAAGTGCCCTACCACAGAGCAGTAGGGCAGTTTTGATTAATGGGTTTTTGTTTTGAGTTACTATTATTCACAGCTGGTCATTTTTCAGAAAAAAAAATGAGGTAATGCTTTCAGATTTCACTGGCAGTGGCAGGTATTAAAGAACCAGTGACGTTTATAAGGTTGTTTTTTCCCCATCTCATTGAAAACCTGCACCTCTTAATGTTATTAATCAGAAGAAGGGGAAGCAAAATTTACTTTGGGAAACCAACCAGGGTCAGGGGCTTTCGCAGCAGACAATATCCTTGTTTGCATATCCTCCCACCCTGAAGCCATGCCATTAACAACAGAACAAAACCTATTGCATTGTTTAGGCTATGCCCATACTTAGGTCAACAATGGTAAATCCATCAAGCCTTTGTCCTCCTATTGTAGGCTCATAGCCAGGAGGCAGAAATCGCCCTTAAAAACCCTTGGATTTTGGCAGTCCATGTCCTACCTTGGAAGTGCATGCTGAATTTCTGTTGGTCTGCACTCCGAGATAGTTTCCGCAACCGTCCCCCCCCCTTGCCGGTCGTGCCCTTTCATTGAATCCATCCGCATTCACTGCCAGAAGTCTGGAGGAGTCTCTCAGGTGTAAGTATATCCCTCACACCCTGGTCTCCCTC